AGGAACGGCAGCGCGGGACAGGTGAGGAGGCATGAAAAGGGGAATTCTGCTGCAAAAGCCAAGGAGGAGAACGACTGAACGAAGGACTGGGGTAAAAGAGAGCAGACACCCCCGGGGGCTGCCAGGGTGGTGGCACAGTCACCCCCTGCCTGCAGCACCCAAGGGTGTCTCTGGGTGCAGAGACGGCCTCCCAGCGAGCAGGGATGGGGAAGGGGGTGCAACGAGGCTGGAGGAGCTGAGCACCCCCAAATACCCCCCCCGAACCTCTCCCCATTGCAGCGCCAGGAGGGCTGTGCCCAGGCAGCCCCAGTCATCCCCCCCCAGCTCTGCTGGGGCGACTTCTGGCACCGGGCTGTTGCTTTTTGAAAGTTGGCCCCTGGATTTGAAAGTTGGCCCCTGGATTTTTTTACCGCCGTCCCTCTCCCCACCCTGCTACCGTTCGCCGGCAGCACTGACTCATCGGCGCTGGGAATTAATCATTCATAAAGCGCGCACGCACAGGCGCACGCGTGTGATTGTGTGCGATCGTGTTTGCGTGTGTTGCTCTGGTTGCTGCGTGAGTCATTCCCAGCCTGCCTGGGGCTTCGCCGCGCTTCAATTCGCTGGAAAGTGAGATTGCAGGATGAGCTGGGCCGGCCGTGGCTCTAAAAAACAGAATTTTCACCGTGCTTTTGGACTTGCATCTCACCAGCCCCGGACCCCTCCGTCCGCAGGGGCTGGCTGGGGAGGGTCGTGCTTTGGGGTGGGCACCGCTGCCCAGGCTCTTGGCAGCGTCCCCAGCGTGGGGTGCAGCTCCCTTTCCGGTTTTCCTCACCGCAGAGCCCAATTTTGCAAGCAGGGGCTTGCAAAAGAAGAAGCTGGAACCTCCGTGACCAGGTCCTGGCTCAGCCCCTCGTTTCTGGGGTGCAAAAGGGGGTGCTTCTCCGTTTCCCCTTGCCGTTCCCAGTTCTCCCACTCCCATGCAGGAGGGATTGGCTTTGTAGTGCAAAGCACAGGGAGGGGGGACGAAGTCCAAGGAGGGGACGATCCCCCCCATGGTAGCGCTGGAAGATGTGGAAGTCACGAGCTGCCAAGTCTCGGCAGAGCACCCT